TTTTCTTTGTTTTATGTCTAAAAGGCACTTATGAGTGAGTATATATGATAATTGTTTTTCTGTGTCTAGGTTACCTCACTCAATACGATGTTTTCTAGATCCATCCATTTGCCCACAAATTTCGAGATGTCAAAAAATAGCGATTTTTTTCTGCTGTGTGGTACTCCATTGTGTAAATGTACCACGTTTTCGTTATCCATTCTTTGGTTGAGAGGTATTTACACTGTTTCCAGGTTCTGGCTATGACAAACAATGCTGCTATGAACATAGTTGAGCACATGTCCTTGTAACACAATTGAGCATCCTTTGGGTATATACCCAAAAGTGGAATTACTGGTTCTTGAGGTAGGTTATTTCCTAATTTTCTGAGAAATCGTCATACTGATATCCAAAGCAGCTGTACCAGTTTGTACTCCCACCAGCAATGGAGGAGTGCTTCCTTTACTTCACATCCTCTCCAACATAAGTTGTAAGGATGATGTTTCTCTGATTTCTTTCTCAGCCCATTTACCATCTGTATATAGGAGGGCTACTGATTTTTTTGAGTTAATCATGTATCCTTCTACATTACTGATGGTGTTTATCAGTAGGAATTCCTGATAATTTGGGAGTAGAATTTTTGGGGTCACTTATGCATACTATCATATCAACAAATAGTGATAGTCTGACTTCTTTTCCAATTTGTATCCCCTTGATCTCCTTTTGTTGTCTTATTGCTCTAGCTAGAACCTCAAGAACTATATTGAATAGATATAGAGAGAGTGGACAGCCTTGTTTTATTTTTTGTTTCAGTGGCATCACTGTGAGTTTCTCTCAGTTATTTTGATGTTGGCTGTTGGTTTGCTCACCTACTATTTTCAAGTTTTGTCTATGTCTTTCAGGTATTAATACTTCATTTTTGTTGTTTCTCCATGTAACTTTGGAGCCTGTCCTGGAACTTGCTCTATAGACCAGGTTGACCTCTAACTTATAGAGATCTGTCTACCTCTGCCTCCCAAGTGCTGGAATTAAAGGCATGCATCACCACCACCCAGCAGAATTTTATTTTTATAGCAAAACACTACTCCCTTGTATGAACATACCATATTATGTGTCACCCTTGAACTGATAAACATTTCAGTAGTTGAGTCATTGGCTATTATTCATAAGGTTGCTCTATCATTAATGTTTGGCTTTTTGTATGTGTGGAGATGCGATTGTTCCTCTTAGTTGCACATCTTGTAGTCAAATTTCAGGACCACATGTTAACTCTGTGTTACAGCCTTTGAAGAACTTTGTTTTCTAAAGCAGTGGAACCACTTCACATCCACACCAATAGTCAATGAGGCTTTAAAAGTCTGAACTTTCAACACATCAGCACCTAAGGCTCAGACAGCATCTCAGAAGAGGGAGTGGGAAGACTGCTAGAGTCAGAGGACCAGCACATCCAAAGTGAGGTCTGTTTTCAATATAGAACAGGAAAGCTGCACCCTTGTCATCTCAGCTAAGAAAGATCCGAATAATGACAGAACCAGCTTGTTGGGGGAGGAGCTGCTTATTCGTCCTGGCCACCCAGCTAGTGTAGCCCCAAAATAACTACACAGAAACTGAATGAATTAAAACACTGCTTGGCCAATTAGCTCTAACTTCTTTTTGGCTAACTCTTACATCTCAGTTTAACCCATTTCTATTCATCTGTGTATCATCACGTGGCAATGGCTTACCAGGAAAGATTTGGCATGGCAAATGGTGTCTCTCCGCGACTCTGCCTTTCTTCCTCCCAGCATTCTCTTCTGTCTTCCCTGCCTACCTAAGTTCTGCCCTATCCAAAGGCCAAGGCAGTTTCTTTATTCATTAACCAACGAAAGCAACACACAAACAGAAGGACCTCCTACACCATTTCCCCTTTTCTGTTTAAACAAAAAGTAAGGCTTTAACATAGTAAAATTCTGGCAAGAATTACAGTTACAATATTTATCTACTTTATATTTTATCATAACAATGGAAAGCTACAACTATAAAATTTTCAACTCCATCAAAGACTCCAGAAGGATATAATATTACCTAAGGAAACAGAAAGTGCATTATAAGCAAGCAACTTCCAAAACTCTATAATTGACAGAGACATCTCACCTCCTGGACAGTTATCCAAAATTCTTCTGTACCATTGGGACATCCATCTTCAGCCTACAGGCCCATAGTATCCATCAGACTTTTCCAAGAAGCAGGAAATTTCAAAGACAGTTCAGTCATTTTCTTCTGTATCCTGCAAAATGTTTCACAGACTCTTTCATGAGGCAGGAATTCCGAAGGATCACCTCACCTATAGGCATGTTCGGCAATCATTTCTCTGTGGGTAATGAATGTTCAGTGAAGCAGTCCAGGCAAGAGCAGTTTCTTGCCCAAATGGCTAAGGAGCCTCCTCGATGCCCATCTTCCTCTCGAAGTAGCCTGGTACTGCCAGGAGCAGATGTGTCTCATTGTCATGAAAAGTCCTAAATTTTTAAAACATTTAAATGTCATATTCTGAAGGTCTCTGAAAGATTTGAAGAATACCTAACTAATGGAAATATATCTCTGTACATCTAGAAAATCTAACTAACATGACTACAAGCTTGACTATTAAAGATGACTCTCTATTAACCTATATTTCTTAATTATGCATTACATTTTTAAATAAGCTACACAATAACAATACCTTAATCCAGATCAGAACTACTTATACATATAAGAAAATTGACTTTAAATTTGTATCAATAAACCAAGATCCACATCAATGCAAATTTCTATAGAACATTTATAAACAATATTTGGTAATGTGGGTGTAATTCTGTCCATACTGTTTCCTGATGCTTGAGGGAGCTGTTAATCAGGTCTTTAATGGTGTATCCTGTGTGCTAGGTTCATCTCAGTCAGTACTTGAGTGAAATAATTTTTTGAGGATGCTCAGGGGCCCATGGTCTATCAAACCATATTTGTCTAGAAGCAATCCACAGATTCTCATCTTCTATAAAAACAAAAGAAGAACCTCTTTTCCAATGTACCATATCCTTAGACCCAAATTCTGAAGTCAAGATACCTTTATATTATACATGCTGCTTTAGCTTAGCAACCCATACAATGAAAAATCTCTCTGTACTTAGCTCCTTCACAGTCAAAAAATTTAAAGAAGACACAATAATATACATAATCCAGACTCTCTGGGTATACTCCATCTTTACATGGCTTATTTTTCTTTACTCCTTTTATTCTATGACTATCTGTACTTTGTTTCTTTAAAGACTTTACCTTTTTTTAAGCATTAACTTTTATGACTCTCTATATTCTTTTTTCTTCTCTCTTCCAAGCCTACATACATTTATCCAACACTATGACCCATTTATAGGTCTTTTTTGTCTGAATCTGTCCTATTGGAATCTGTAATTCTTTTCTCTCCAGGAGCACTTCTTAAAATGCTAAGTGCTTCTTAAAAACTTAAGTTGTGCCATTAGTAGGGGTAATACGGCACCACCTGTTTACCTGTCCAGTCAAAAACTTAATCTGTGCTATTATTATGATAAATACGGTAGCTCCTGCTCAGCCTCTGCACAGTTCAGTTTCCATCAAGCAATCCATAGCATTTTACTCACAAAATGCTTTTTTTTACCCATCCAAATGCTTTGTCTCCCACAAGAGACAGAGGTCACACTAGCAGAATAGCCCAGAAAACCAGCATTTTAAAACTATCACTTATTTCCTGCTGTGGCTGGGTCAGGAAAATCTCTCTCAAAAGAGCCAGTAAACAGCAAAAAGCTGTGTTAAATTGTATTTTTGTGTTTAAAATTAAGCTCTCTCAGGTTTTTAAGTGGATTTAGTCCATCACATTGGTGCCAATTGTTGGAAGAGGGGCTACTTGTTCATCCTGGCTGCCCGGCTAGCTTAGCCCCAAAATAACCACACAGAAACTGTATCAATTAAAACACTGTTTGACCCATTAGCCCTAACTTCTTACTGGCTAACTCTTACATCTCAGTTGAACCCATTTCTATTAATCTGTGTATTGCCACATGGCAGTGGCGTACTGGGAAAGATTTGGCATGTCTGACTCTGGTGGCTCCATGGTGACTCTTCTACTCTGCCCTTCTTCCCCCCAGCATTCAGTTCTGTCTTTCACACAAACCTAAGTTCTGCCCTATCAACTAGGCCAAGGCAGTTTCTTTATTCATTAAACAATGAAAGCAACACATAAACATAAGGAACTCCTATACCACCAGCTGACATGCTGCTGTGGATGGGAAACTCTGCTAAGTCCCTGCCCTAGGTGAAGAGCTATTAATGGCTGAGAAATGGGGGTTCAGTCTTCCCTGAGACAAGACCCAGAGAGGTTACTTGATCCTAAGTGGTCATCCCTAAAAATATACAGATGAGCAATATTAGATACTAGCAGGCTATGTATGCATGTATGTGTGCGCATGTGTTTGTGTGCATGTGTGTGTGTATGTGTGTTTGTGTAAAACGTTATTAAGGAGGAAGAGGTTATGAATTTGGGAGGGAGTGGAGGGGATATGGAAGTAGTTGGAGTAGAGAAGAATAGGGTGGATATGGTATTTAGAATTTAAAAAAAAATAACTTAAGTTTTGAGTTTTAATTCATTGTATACCCTGACAAGAGATAAGCCATGTCTGATCATGCACTGTGTGTTGTAAGTCTGACATCCTTAGCCACGTGTCTGCTAACGTACTGTGTGCTGTAAGTCTGACTTCCTGAGCCACGTGTGCTAATGTGGTGTGTGCTGTAAGTCTGACTTCCTGAGCCATGTGCCTGCTAATGTGGTGTGTGCTGTAAGTCTGACATCCTGAGCCACGTGTCTGCTAATGTGGTGTGTGCTGTAAATCTGACTTCCTGAGCCACGTGTGCTAATGCACTGTGTGTTGTAAGTCTAACCATCTGACCAACACCCCACATCTTTTACAGCAAAGACACAAAATTTCTTCTTTTCACAATGATGAAATGTACATTAATGGTTTCCCATTTTATCCCAGCCAAGGACAGATGACAGAAGCAATTAAATACCTAGAAAAGGTTGTGAAAATTGCAAGGAACAACTTCCAAAGCCTCGATGTGATACGAGCATGCACGATGCTTGGCGACATCTACAATGAAAAAGTGAGTTGTGTGTCCCTTTTTTGTGGAAAAGCTTGCAGAGTTGGAAGTCTCTTCTCACTTTCTGCTTGCTGTCTCACTAGTCAGTGTGGAAAACGGCTGCGACTGCGGGATGTGGCACAGACAGGGCAAGGGCAGAACTAGAAACTCCTCCCCCACATCAGCGACCACTGCCGTTCAGTATTCAAGGTGACTGAATGTAGGGAACAAGGTAAAGATTTAAATGCAAAGGCACTTTGTGATAACTATTGACTCTTACCAGCTTACTCTGACATTCCGGTCCAAATTCTTATTTCTTTTTAATCCAGTTGGGAGGCCTACCAGGCAAAGAAATGAGAATCCTAAGAATGACTCCGCAAGGAATTTCCAGTGTGGTTTTCACAGCATCCCAGGAGCCGAGATTAGTAAATGCACAGTTGTGATCCCAGTTTTACCATCTTCCGCTGCTCAGGGTCTCCATTAGAAATTGTACAGAAGAAGCCTGCTTCTCTGGTTATAATTGCTGTTTTGATCATGAATCAGATCCATCATTTTTTAGGGTAATTATATTCTCCAACTGTGTTCATACACTCTGTGCTAATCTGAGTGCTCGGTGATTGAAAGCACTACTGTGGAGCACACTGTTTGGGTGACAAGCCCAGCTCCTTCACAAGTTATTTACACTTCTAGGTGCTTTGACTTTCGCATATCATGGGGCTGTTGTAAGGATTAAATTAAGTGATGTGAAAGCAGAAGGGCAAGTCTGTGGAAGAAAGAACCCTGAGGGGGTGGGGAAGGAGGGCTGTGGAGGGGACAGTAATCATGAACAGGGTGCCATGTTAAACGCATGTGAAAGTGTCATAATGAAAACCCAGTATTTATATACCAACTAAAATGTTAATTTTTTAAAAAATCAACCCCAGGGGACTTGAGAGCGGGGCCCAGTGGTGAAGAGTCCTTGCTATTCCTGTGGAAGACTTTTGCTTCCAAGCACACACACCTGGCAGCTCACAACTACCTGCAACTCCAGCTCCATGGGGCCTGACACCATCTTCTGACCTATGTGGGCACCTACATGCAGAAGATACACATAAACTCAGGTAGTTACACACACACACACACACACACACACACACACACACACACGGTAAATAAATAAATACTGGACTGGACTGGGGAAATGGCCATGTCATTAAAGTGTCTGTTTTGCAAGCACAGAGACCTGATTTCAGATCCCCAGAACCTGTGTGGGAAAACATATATAGTGCATGCTTATAACCCCAGTGATGCGAGGGCAGGGCCAGTGGACCAATGGAGTGCACTGGCCAGCCATGCTAGCCAAATCAGTGAGCCCAGGCTCAATGAGAGAGTCCCTGTCTCAAAAAAACAACATAGAAAGTACTCAAGGGAGAAACTAGACATTGACTATTGGCCACCATACATATGTACATACACAAGCATGTATATGTACACAATCCATATGAACACAAACATGCACTACATGCAATGTAAATACTGAGGAGAAAAGGAGTTGGCCTAGTAAGGGCAGCACCTTGGGCTAACCCTGTGTCCCAGGGACACAGGGTTCGTGTGGCTACGACTGTGCCCCTCCGTCTGCAGTCTTCTGTTCCAGAGCCTCCGATAGTCTGTCTCACTCCAAGTCTCCTAGATTCAAAGTAGTTGTAATAGTCCAATCCACACTCTTAAACACTACCATAATTTTTAGTAAAACAAGTTTCAAATGAATACAAATTAATGAAAGTAATGTTTTGCTTTGTTTCTGCTCTGAGGAAATTTTCTGCAAACAAGTCCTGGCCTCCCATTCCTCTCAGCTACCTGTGGCTCCCCTAGCTCCTTTGCTCCCCACAGGAGAAGAACCCATCATCCCAGGAGTGACTCTAAAGGGAATTTACAATGGGTAGTTCTATGTGCTGCTGGTATCTACCCTTGGTGGCCAAAACAAAGCTGACCACTGGGGAACTTCAACACTGTTGTATTTTAACAGTCCGTGCTGTGTTTGTTGCGTGATTTTCTTGCCTGCCCTGCTTTCTTGCTATTGTGTTCTGTTGGCTAGAATATCACTTTTGTGAGAGCTGAGACCCTGTCCGCAGTTCCTGTCTAAGAAATGAGCCCGACACACTTGGGAAGCAGAAGGGCGTCAGTCCACTGAGCTCATTTGGGAACCAGCGTCACACCACTTGAGAAAGCACTGTCACTTCTGAAATCCCACACTCTTTCGGTTTCCTAAAGTATCCTACCACTTAGAAAACTTGTCCCGGATCCTTAAAAACAAATCGCACACGGCTGCCTGCCGTTCATCAGTCTTACACCCATGAGACCCTTGCGCTAGCTATGGTTTTTGTCAGTTTGACACAGCCAGGACCCTCTGGGAAGAGGGAACCTTAATTTCTCCTCAGATTGGCATGTAGGCGAGTCTGTGTAGTTGGTGTGAGGGAGCCCACCGGTTCATGGATGGGGCTACCCCTGGGAATGCTCAGTGAGACACAGTAAATAGAGCTCCTTCCTATCCTCTGCTTCAGTTCCTGCCTGGAGTTCCCACCCTGGCTTTCCCTTCATGATAAACTGTAAGCTGTAAGGGAAATAAATTCTTTCCTCCCCAAGTTGTTTTGGTCATGGCTTTTAATCAGAGCTATAAGCCACAGCAGGACAGCTCCCTTCCCGCTGCCCTATCTGCTCCTTTCTGCTGCTGGGGCTCCCAGCTGCCCTCTCCTCCTGTCTGAGGCTCGGGCTCCCAGCTGCCCTATCTCCTCCTTTCTGCAGCTCGGGCCACCTGTGTTAATGGTATTGTCAGCAACAAGTTTCAAAGTGTAACACTGTGAGACAGAAGCTACAAGGCAAAATTGTCATTTTGAAAAATACTGGAATTGGCATATACTGTGATTACGATAGTGCTTTTATTATTTAAATTAGTGCATCTTAAAAATAGTCTTTATCTTAGTTAACCTTTGATTATAAAATCTGGGGTAGGGGGCGTCCCATGCCACTCTCTAGATGTGATCTTTTGATAGAATGTTAATTGAAAATATATAATTACTATAAAGTGACCAAATGGCAGTGTTTTAGGGGAGAAAATCCAGGATCTGCCTTTTATGAGATTTCTCATTCCCTAATAAGATCAAAAATAATCACAGTTCAAAATATGGTCATTCTTATGTCAAAATAGCAGAAAGGGGCCAGTGAGAAGGCTCTGTGGGTCAGAGCACTTGCCACACAGCCTGATGACATGGGTGTGATCCCCCAAATCCGTGGAAGAGGAAAGTGGATTCCTGAATATAGTCCTCTGACCTCCCCACGTGTGCCATGGCATGTGCAAGCCCACATGCACACACGGGCACACACAGAGAGAGAAAGAGAGAGAGAGAGAGAGAGAGAGAGAGAGAGAGAGAGATTATTTACCCTTAGAAAACACCCTTTTTTTACTTTGCTTGTTAGATCTTTAAGAAACAGAATGCACGTGAAAATTCTATTATGAGCTTTGTTTCAAGATCTCTGATGTCACTGAGACCATACCCTTGAACTGTCAGGGATTTCAGAGCGCTGGTTGGGGTTGCCTTCTCATGGATGGATTAATGAATATATAATTTGCTGCACAGTTTATATTTAAGATTGTCAGAACCGATTTCTAGAATCATTAGAAATTTATAATAGAGATGACTTAGAAACAAAGATGAACTTTAGAAGGTTATACAGAATTTGAGGAGAGATTACATTTACGTAGTAAACTTTTTTTAAGGATTAAGAATGTGGAAATACAATAGACACTAAGGAAACTCATTCCCAAAAGGTATGTTTAAAAAAAAAAAAAGGTAGCATCTGAAAGGAACCACTATTGTGTTTACTTGACTGTGTGTTAGAGACATCTTCATTGTAGCTTATGACAGTTGTTTGTGGTTAGTTTGAAGGAAAGACAACCACCTAATGATATTCCTCTTTGGGGCAGAAAAAGCACTTGGCTTCAATAAGGCCCATTGAAAAGGTCTAATCACCATTTTAGGTGGCACGGCTTCCTCTAAAGTCAAGCCACCTGTTCCTCCTTCTCTTGCTGCTGAGTGTCACTGGCGTGCAGGCTCACGCATAGCGGCTACCTCACGACTCAGCAGATGAATGCTGGTTCATCTTAACCTATGTCTGTAAATCAGCCTGGAAGTTTAAGTATGTGCCCATTTGTTTATAACCCTTGATTTACCAGATTCAAACTCCCACCCTAATCAATAAACAGCCCAAAAACTCAGAATAAAACAGGAACAATTAGATGCTTCAATTTCTGTTTTTGAAACAAGGTTATCCTTGATCAAATTGTGCTTTTTGTGTGTGTAGTTTTCTTTCTCATTTGTATCTATCAAGGATGTCTGTATTTTCATTATCTCTAATATGTGCCATAGTTCTCAATCATATTTAATTGGAACAGAGACCACCTTTCGTATGTTTTAATTAAATAATCTTTTCTCATTATAAACCTTTTTATGATTAAAAAAGAATTGCTTACAGCATCAAATAATAACTATTACTTATACAATATGAAGGTGCTTCCCATCAATGATCAAATTTGATAGAAGAAAAACTTTGACTAGGGAGTGCACATAGACTGCCCTATGGACAGGACGCGCAATGTTGCATTGCTGCATGGGAGAGAAACCGCTAATCGGACTGTCAGGTGACTCTTATTCAATCAGTGACCACTCATCCAACTGCTCCACTGCACCGAGGGTCTCGGAGCTGATGCTTCACCCCATCTGTGCAGGTGTGCGGCATGGAGATGTAGCCATGGTGCTTCGAATTCCCACTTCTTCTGACAAAGTGTGGAAATATGGCTAAAATTTTTATTGCAAAAAAATTCCTCTCCTGTGAAAGTTTTTTTTGAAAGGAGTATTCAACAATGTTTTAATTATCTCTATTTTGTCTCTGTGTGTCTGAGTGTTCAAACGTAGGGGGCACAGCTGTGTGGGTACACAGTGTGGGAATGCAGAAGTGTGTAGAGATGAGAGGTTGAAGTCATGTGTCTTCCTCAACCCCTCTCATATTTTCTTTGTTCTAGCCATATTACAATCACATGTTTTAAATCTAGACTCTCCCGTGTCCTTAGCTAAACAGCAGCAGGTGCATCAAGGAAAAGAGAAGGAGTGACAAGGGTTGGCAGATGCCTCTGTCAGTTGTGGCCACTAGCTTGGCGCCAAAGGCCTTCCTGCTACAAATGAAAACAAGACAGTTAAATATATTTCACTGGATAAATATAATGGTATAATCAGTAAAACTGTGTTAAAAATGTGTCTACTTCCTTCCCCTGCTGCTATGCACTTCAGTGTTTCAGCCATAGATGCAGCTTTTTAACCAAATTAATCTCAAGGTTCTGACCATCACATGAGCTCTGCTTACGGAAGACAACCTTTTCTGATGAAAGAAACGGGTGAGGTGAGCAAATCTGTGAGATGGGCGAGGTAAGAAATAAAACAGCATTCTCTCTTCCTCACTAGGGGCAGTACAGCAAGGCTTCAGAGTACTTCCAGCAAGCTTTCAGCACCACTGTGGAGCTCATGAAAACAGCACTCATGGATGAAACCAAAGTTCACTATGGGATAGCCAGAGCCCACCAGCTCATGCTGACCATGAAGAGTTACATAGAGTCTGCAGATATAGACAGCCTCAACTGCCTGCTGTCCTGGAAAGAAAGCAGAACACAAATCCAATATGACCCAGTTCTGGGTAAGGCTTTGGCTTTTAGATTTTGTATCATTCTTAGTAGCCAAGGTATTTCTGTTGGAAATGTTTATTCGCACGTAACTGACTTGAATTTGCTTGGTAATTTTGTTCTTCTTCTTCGGTTGCTACGTTGGAAGCTGGGTGCACTCTCCTGCTGTATCTTACTGGTAGTGTTTAAGAGAAGCATAAGATGGGGGAGTGATGTGTCTGCCAATCATTCTCCACTCTCAGACAGGCACTTCCCAGTAATCTTCGAGGCCACACTCTGTACCGATGGATTGTAAGGAACAATTTACAAGGAGTAAGGCGTGTAAAATCAGCTTGTACTTTCTAGTACTTTCCAGTCATATGGCGCACAGATGAGAGCAACCGCAGACACACACTGCTTAGATGATGCACTTCACTGATAGGGGTTAATGTTACTTTTATTGTTTTGAATTTGGAAAATATTTTATAGCAATGCCTCTTAAACTACTTTTTCTTATGAATGATTACATTTTTATTATAAACAACCAAGTTAGTGTAAGGGTCAGCTCTGTGTTTTAGCTTCACTTGACTCTAGGGATGAACTTCAGGTCACACAGCTTGGTGACAAGCACATTTACCCACCGAGCCATCTTGCCCACCCTGAATATCCAACTTCTTTTTAATTCATTGTTAGATCCTTGGGAGCTCATTCCACATCTTGAAATTACCTACATCTTAAATTTTCATGTTTTCTGCCCAGAATACCAGGAAATGACCCATGTCAGCTGTCTTACACTGGAAAAGGTCAGCCTGCAGTTCAGTGTTTCAGTTTGTCTTGAATAAACTCTTATCATCCTATGATACTGTGAGAAAAATACTCCTGGGTGGGGGGAGCAAGGCCGGAAAAGCCATGTTCTAATGGGATCCAGGTGTGTCTCTCAGTGCCTAGGCTGGAAAAGGCATGTTCTGATGGGATCCAGGCGTGTCTCTCAGTGCCTAGTGTGCAGCTTCTGAAAACCCTTCTGCTTTTGCTCATCCGTACTGCTTACATTTGTGGCTCTTTGGTTTCTCGAGAGCTGAATTTTCTTCTGAAGGGCTTGGGAGCAACCATCCCTTTTCCTCCATGCTTCAGACACTAACACTCATGGTCTGCACAGGCCTACATAGAGTGCTGGAGAAATCACAGCCGGCACTGCTTCATCTCACGTGACTCACCTCTGCAGGCATGAGCGTCTTCCCCGCAGAAGTAAAACATAGACAAGTGTGAGTAAGTACTGAGTTCTCATTCTTCTGACACAGTTCACACTGTACTTTTTCTTCTTGGGAATAAAATCCACAGGAAACTATTTAACACATGTGACTGCACACATGCATTTGTAGGTCAAAATGCACTAAAATCTGCCATAAGATGCCCCGTTTTCACTCTACTCAAAACTCCTCCCTGGCTCTTCTCTGGGTTCTGGATAAAGACTTCTTGTCCTTCCTGACCCAGTTTTTTCCCGACCACTCCCCTACACACACTCCACCCAGCCCTGCCTACATGGCATTCCCAATGACCTCCTTCCAGCTCAGTTCAGCCAGGTCCTTAGACAGGATGCCTGAGGCCCCTACCACTTGATAATGCTCTCTTCTCTGATCTCAGTGGCTGTCATTTATTTCTCTGCTATCATTTATTTCTCTGGAAGTCGTTTCGTTTCATTTTCTACCACGACCATCTTTTTAATCGCCTTAGCTGCTCAGTTGAGAGCATGGGTCTCTCAAACACACATTCTGAACTCTTGGTATTTTCTAAGAAGGAAGATGTGATATTTGACATCTACAAGTTGCCAAGTAAATGCTTAAATCAAACAGAATCCAAGATGAGTATGTAAGCCCAACCACAAGCTAGTTTGCACTAACCACGTTTTAAGCTTGTTTGTGATGTGTCCTTGGGAAGCATATGATACCACACTATTTGGATTACCATCCAATTATCGCGTGAATGAAGGATGGTGCTTACCAAACACGATGTTGACAAAATGGAAAAGTACAAAAATATTATTTGGAAATCTGAGCTTTTAAGTTTTCAACTCCCACCTTCCTCGTAGAAAGAGGCATCTTTAATCTTGCTATTGAGGGTCCCCTGTATTCAGAAAAAAAAAACAGATCAAAGATCAAAAAGCTGTATTATTAAAGCTGTGCATGTGTTATTGGCACCTCGGAGACTTCCGCCCTCCAAACAAATCGTTAGCTCACAGAACTGCCAATATTCTTGTAAGCGGAGAGCATGGGCCCTGAGGGAACTGAGCAGTGGGAGCACTGAGGTCCTCAGATGAAATGGAACGGTGACTCACCAGCAACCCATGGTCATCTCTGTTCCTCTCGGAGGGAACACGCAAGAACAGGCCCCTCCAGACTCTTCTAATACCGGGAGATGGTGGGAATGACTCATACAGCCTGCCCTCCCCTTCTGACATTGAGTCTCCCAAATTTAAAAGTTGAGGGGGGGGAGGAAATCAAGTTTATTACACCTCACCAAAACAACTCGATTCTGAAGCATCTCCAATTGTTTGGTTCTGGAAGGCTCAAGGGCCTATGACCTTCTCCTGAATTCTCCAGAATATTGTTTGTTTCCCAAACCCAAGCTATCTTCTCAATCAAGGAAATGTGTGTCTTTATGGAAAAAATGTAGTTCACATTGTAACCATAGACACAGCAACACAGAAAGAAATGCTTTCCTCATTCATATTAACAGCGGTGTTAACCCAGGCATGCAGTTCGGCCCTCTAAGGGGCAGTGCCATGAGCTCCATTGCTGTGAGAACTGCTTCAGTAGCAGGATCTCTATCCACTTTCTCATTGAGGCCAAAGGCAAATTACAGCAGAGAAAGAAAACAGATGAGCACACCAGCCGGTTGGAATGCGAGGACTCAGTTCTCAGTGAGACGTTATGTGAAGGCTTACAGGGATGGAAAAATCATCATCTTGATTTTATGGCTCCTGCAATATTCTTCAAGAAGTGCCATGACTTGGTCTCACAGTTTTGCCTTTACGTTGGTTTCACGTACCACGCATTGTTTAGTATCAAACCATTGCTACTGTAGACTTTGCTTGCATTTCTCAGTCATGAGCTTACTTCACCCTTTTAAAGAAATGAAAAGTTCATCTTCATTACCAAGCCCTCATACTCTACCGTGACTGGATACTTTTTCTATAGCTTAATAACCATAAATATGAAGAGACAATAATGAAATTATCCAATAGGCTAGCAAGCAAGGTTTAGGAAATACAAAAACTTATTGAATTTGCTTTTTTGACAGTTTTGTAAATGTACATGGTATATCCTGATTATTGTTACCCCACCCTCTCTGAATTCCTACCTAACCCCTTTGTGCCTCTTTTGCCTACAAGTCCCTTCTCCCCTTTAGTGTCTTTTTGTTTTGTGGCCCACTGAATTTAACTAGGGCCTTCTCTGTGATGATGGGTTTGGGACTAACTACTGGAGCCCAGTGGACTTATCAATAGCTAACTAACTGCAAATGATGATGCAAATAACTCGCCACAGAGTCCATCAGTAACCAGTAGTTCAGAGGTGGGGAGGTAGAACCTTCCCTAGCCCTACTGAATCTGTGTACCTGTTGACAGGCCCGGTGCAGGCAGGCAAAGCTCTTGTGAGATCATGATCGCCATGCCAGAAGCTAGCATTTCACAGCTCCTCTTCCTGTTTTCCTGTTCCTACATTTTTTTTCTACCCCCTCTTCTGCCATGTTCTCTAAACCATTGTGACAGTGGTATAAATGCCTTGTCTAAGGCTAAGAATTCAACAGTCCCTTATTCTCAGCATCTTGAGCAGCCAGGCTTCTCTGTATTCACCGTCACTCATTACAAAGCGAAGTATCTCTGATTAACGCTGAGTTAGCACTTGTATATGGGCATCAACGTAGATACTCCGCAGTTTGATGTTACGGTAAACTAAAGAAGAGTAATAAACAGTCAGAAGTTTCCCACTAGAGTTGAAGACTTCATCAACTATGAGTTTTGTTTTGTTTTTTGTTTGTTTGCTTGTTTGTTTGGTTTTTTTACTGCATTTACATTATCAGGCAAGGATTCCATACTAGGGCCAAGCCTCCTGTCTACTCATTTGGCTACTCCTATGACAGTCATGCCATTATTGCTTCAGTAGGCACACCTTGTCTGACTGTGGTTTTTAGGAGTCACACCTGGGTAAGACTGTTGATGCCATTTCTCCCCAAGCAGACTGCATAGTGCCTTGCAACACCATGAAAACTAGTCATCAGTGGGGAAGCTTCCTCTTCAGTTCCAGCTTGGTCGCTCTGTCTTCTAATCAAGGGATGTGGTACCTTCAGCAATGGGGCCTTATCACCTAGTTCTGGTGAGAAAGTACAAATGACAGGCCTTGTTGGGTAATCTCATGAACTTCCCATACCAGGGCTCATAAAGAGGCACCTTACACCCAGCCTTGGGATCTTTGTTTGATAATGTATGGTTTTTAGGAGAAGAAATATAGGATCTCAGTCTCCATCCTCATGTAGGTTTTCATATTGCTTAACCTACTCTGACTCCAGAAGTACCAGGACCCTTTTCAATATCTTCCAGGATCGGCTTGGGGCAGCTGTCTCTCTTTTGGACAATTTGCATTTATATTCTCCGGGTCTGCCTGTGATTTTTTTAAAAGGTAGAAACCCTTTAAATACTGCATTAAATTCCCATTTTTAGTCACAGCAAACAAGTTGGATGAGACAAATGGGATAAAAGCATTAAAATACATTCTTTATGTGTTCTATACTCATGTCAGAAGAAGAAAACCAATGTGCACCTCACTGTCAGCCTTACTTAAAGTGATCATGTGAATCAGGGCCTCACAGACATCAGGAAGCACCCAGTGCCTTCCGCAACTATCCAAAATGAGCACAACACCAAAATGTCTGAAAAGACAAGCAATACTTAACTGCAACCAATTTTAAGAAAAAGGAAGAATTTGTGTGTGGATTTTCAATCTCCTCATTAAAATACACATCACCACCCTTTGTCTATTTT